AAAGTGCTTTCTCTCATTCTTGTGTCTTCTCTCTGTAGTTCAAGTCGCTGTGTAGTTCTAGACTGCGGGTTACCGAAATAGCTTAGGAATCGTATATAGCGTTCAACCTACACGACTTATCACATTTAATGAGATGTATCATCTCAAACGCTCCTGATCACCTCCTAAAATACCCAGTAAAACTGAGTTCCAACACATACCTTAGCAGCGATGCCTGGAAATTAAAGGTACGACTCAGAAATTTGAAATGTAGGCCGTCGTGGCCCGTAGTCTGACTACGATTTAAACACGAATAAATACTCCATGAACATAAATCTTCAGCTTAATTCCTTACATTACACCTAGGCTAACCCCGCTTGACCACCGGTTCTCATAAGGAGCCGAATACGATTTGGGTTGGACGAATATGCTTCAGACATTCGTCTACTCATACAGGAAAGCGATGCAAGTCAAAGAAGACTTTCCTACAAACTTCCTTTTACTACTCATTACGAACCCTAATATAACCCAAAATAAATCATGCACATTGTGACAAAGATACAAGTATTGGATAAAATCATGAGTAACAGACATATGTACATGTATGCACAAAGCGCATAAGCATAGAATTACAAGTGTATGAATATGGCATATACTTGCTGACAGTCACAATTTTCTGTACAAAGAATAGAGTTACTATTAAGGTAAAGAGGACTCAGTAGTCACCTGTTTTCCGAGTTATTAAGGTCTGTCCAAAAGATAGGATGAATCATGTATGCAAGAGTACTATGCGCTACAAGGCACACATAACCCTTACGTATATTCAAGTATCGGAACCTATTATCGGTTTATGTAGCCCTATTAGATTTTTACGAAACCTTCAAGAGGATTCAAGGTAAAGAAGGTCGTTTAACAATAACTTCATCCATTCCGCACACAACAATTTCAGAATTCTTTTACATATCCTGTTTGTGTCACCGTTGTAGTTGATTTTCAAGATGGCTAGCTCTGCTCATAAATGTAGACAACCATATTGCTCATTCCCCATGGAGGAAGGATGCAATGTGATGAGTGTAATAAGTGGTTCCATAAGATGTGCACCCGATTACGCCTCACTGCATATAAAAGGTGCTCAAAGCCCAACTCTCTTTGGCTTTGTAGTTTTTGTTGCTCGAGCAAAACCTTACTCATCCAGGAAGCAATTACCCTCCTGATGTTGGTTAATAAGAAGGTTGATGAGGGCTGTACTGATAACATTGGTACTGATGGCGAAGATTGCGTTGGTGTCGTAAGTGCTGTCACGGCGGAAGCCAGACATCTACCTGTGCAACCTGCAGTCAAACGTCCACCCCTTAAACGATCAGTGAGTGACACCTCATTAGACGTTGGTGGCCATATAGCTACAGCTGCGACTAGTGATCCAGATAAGACAATTACTGTCCCGAGTTGTTTTAATGTAGGTGTTTCGACTGATGGAAAATGGATGACGTGAAAATGCAGAAGAGTAGGAAAGACAGCTAAAACTAATGACTTTACTTGATAAGTCCTTGGTGGACTCTCAGACCAATCCGCCAAAGTCCCAAAGTAAAGCTTCGCCTAACATTGTTGTGAGTCACTCGCTTGACCCCCAGGACTCTGTTACAACAAAAACTAATCGTAAGATACCAGTAGTTAATACACAGGATCTAACGTCACGGTCGAAAGCTTTGAACACAGTTTCGAAACAAGCTAAACCCCTCCCTAGTTTAATTATTTGGAATCTAGAGTAGTCGAAAGACAACGACCCTGCTAGAAGATATGCACATGACTTGCAGTTAGTGGAGTCTGTGGTAAGAAGCGTACTACATGAAGCGGTTTCAGGAGTACATATTACAAAAGTAATACGACTTGGTAAACGGGTTGGAGGCAAGACCCAACCAAGAAGAATCCTGAAGCTGGTTCTCGGGAGTTTTGAAGAAAGAGACATATTATTGAAAAACGCATTAACAACTCGTGACAAATATCTGTATTCGACCAGATTGGCTGCTTGAGGATCGAATCAAGTGGGAGAATGCTCTTACGGAGTTGAGGACTCGTAAATTAAATGGCGAAAATAACCTTACCATTAAGAGTTTTCGGGTAGTCAGGTCTTGGAAGCCAATGCTTCCGAGGCCTGTATGGATGGAACGATTGATTGCCAAAACACCTCAAACATGTGCTACACGAACGTTCGTAGTCTTAGAACTAAAACGTCCGAGCTAAGTCTGATGGTGGAAGAATCATGTCCCGATATAATCGTTGTTACAGAAACTTGGTTCACAGTAGATATAGACTGTTCTCCGTTCATTGCAGGCTATATCTGTATTAGAAGTGATAGAGTTTCAAGTCGCAAAGGGGGAGGTATACTATTATACGTTAAGGATCACTTTCGTATGCAATCAACCATATCAGAGGCTCATATCAGTGGCACATGTGAGGTTGCATGTTGTAAGATTAAATCTAGAAATGGGTTTGTGACTATAGGGGGAATATACTGTAGTCCGTCTTGTCTTGCTGACGACTTTATCCTAAGACACATCTGTTCTTGGAGTATGGCAGAATGTTGTCTCATCATTGGGGACTTCAACACACCACATATCAACTGGATAGAGCTTACAGCTCCAGGTAGTGGTTTCGATAGCGACCTTTTATCTACCGTTATTCAGTGTGCACTTGTATAATGCATCACAAAACCGACACATATTGATTTGCAACCTGATCCGTCACTGCTGGACCTCGCCCTCACCCACCACTGTGAGAATGTCCTTGATATCCAGCACCTTCCCCCACTAGTGAAAAGTGATCGCGTTGTAATTCACTTTAAGTTTAGGAAACATGGTATACAATTCGTATCTGCTCCACCCCGTCCCAATATCTGGCGAGCCAGTATTCCGGCAAACAGAAATTGTGCTATCTCGACTGATTGGTCGGTCGACGCGGATGGATTGATCGAAGATGAATGGAATAAGTTTAAGGCTACATTCGAGTCCGTAACGTTTCCGTTTATCCTATGGTCAGCACATAAGCCATCATATTGCCCTCCATGGATTAATAAGGAATTCCGGAAGCTGTTAAAGCGTAGGAAACATTTCTGAGACTTATTCTTGTTGACAGGTCATGCACCATTTAAGCGTGAGTACCGAAAATTCCGTAATATCTGTAAGGAGACCATAGCTAAATCCCGTACCACTTACGAACGACAGTTAGTATATGATAGCCGTACTTGTCCGAAACGATTGTTTTCATATGTTAAACGGCAAATAAAACGTAGTGATGGTATTCCCCCGTTACTGTTACACGAAAATTCAGATTTACTAGCCGAATCAGATCGAGCAAAAGCTGAGTATTTTTCAAACTATTTTAGCGAAGTCTACTCTACGTTTATTGTAACAAATACTTGTCCCACTCACACCGAGATACCAACCATTGAATCTGTACAGGTGACTGAGGAAACTGTCCTTCCGTTGATAACTAACCTCAAACCTGGTAAGATACCGGGCCCTGACGGGTTACATCCATGGTTGCTGTCATCTCTTGCGGACATTATTTCAAAACCGCTCGCGAAACTCTTCAACATGTCCTTTCACTCGCACGACTCCTTAGAGATTGAAAGGACGCTATAGTCAGTCCTATATTTAAGGACGGTCAGAGACAGGTCATATCTAACTACCAGCCTGTCAGTCTAACGAGCATAGTGGTTAAGTTACTTGAAAAGAGAAGTCGCGTTAGGTTGCTAAGACACATAGATTTACAAAATCTGTTAGCTCTTGAGCAACACGGATTTCGTAACAAGCGTTCATGCTTGACTAACTTATTACGACAGAAGATTGGACAGCAGCCCTAGATAACGGTCGGTCTGTCGATGTGATGTTCATAGATCTTAGCAAAGCATTTGACAAGGTTTCACACTTAGGTCTTATGCAGAAGCTCACGATCTTCGGAATAATAGTTACTGTACATGAGTGGATAGGAAAATTTTTATGTGACTGCGGACAGAGAGTGAGGGTCAACGGAACGCTATCTGATTTGAAGCCGGTCAAAAGTGTTTTACCTCAAGGCATCATCTTAGGCCCTCTGTTCTTCCTTCTCTACGTTAATGAGTTACCGCTGTTACTAAGGTCGTCGACATTGTTGTTTGCGGATGAAGTGAAAATCTGGAGAACAATAAAAAGTGCGGCTGATCATGTGGATCTTCAAGCTTACTTAGACGATTTAGTTAGATGGGCTCGAGAGGGGCTTAGAAATCAATGCTAGGAATAGTGTACTAATGCACATCGGTCACGATAATAGTTACCGTTACACTATTGAGGGTAAACCTCTTCTTTGCGTTCAAGAGCATAAAGACTTAGGAGTAGTCTTAAGTCATGATTTAAAAACAACTACGCATTGCAAAGCAGCCGCTGTTAAAGGTTTTCGTGCGTTATGGTCACTTCGCCGAGCGTTCAAATCTTTTGAAGATGAAATTTTTCGAATTTTAAATCCCACATACGTAAGACCACATTTAGAGTACTGTATCCAAGCAGCTAGCCCGTGTCTGGCAAAGGATACTAACTCACTTGAGCGTGTCCAGCGTGTGGGATCGAAGTTAGTGAAGGGTATTTCTAAACTCCCTTACGATGAGCGTTTAAAACGCCTAAACCTTTTCCCCTTGTCGTATCGTAGGACACGAGGTGACCTTATACTGGCATTTCGTATTTTTAATTATGATTTGGGTGTTAATATTTCATATCTTTTTGTTCCCTCCAGCGCTAATAATCTCCGACTTCATAGCAAGAAGGTTCATAAACCACGATCTAATAAATTTAAAGTGGGATCCCGTTTTTCTCATCGAGTAGTCAATGATTGGAACGCCTTACCCGAATAAGCGGTATCAGCCCCACCAGTGAATATTTTCAAGGAGAAGCTGGACCTTCCCTGGAAATCAATGTGTCAGGATTAATACAGGTTCACCAACCTACTATCCTTATTACTGAAGACTGAACAGCTCGGATATTGGGTCATTTAAAGCGCTTCATATATACTGTTACGGTACGTTATGGAAATAAGCTCACAAAGATCCCAAACAGCTAGCCATATTGTAGACCAGATAAAGAGCCAAGGATTATTTGATAAAATTAGAAAGCAATGTCTTGAAGATGTTGACGTAAACTTAGACTACCAAGTTCTCCAAAAGAAGGTGAATTCTTTTGTTTCATCATTTCTCCAAAATCAGTCATGGAATCCTGGAGTTGAGAAGTTAAAGTTAAGGGAACAGCTACGGACTAAACTCTTAAGTACCAAAATGTTGTCTTGTGGAGTTGACAAACTCGTTAATCAGGCACTTAATGCTAAAATGCCTAAAAATTTCAAGAATCAAGTTCAGAATATTGTTTGCGATTACTTTGACTTAAACCCCGAGTCAATATTAGCTAGTAGCCTAGGTAACCAGAATTGTGCTGAAATAAGACCTGCAATATACCCTGAAAATCCAACAGGACCATATCCTTCCGATTCGTATGACCGAGCTTATGGTTCTGTAATGAGTAATCCTGTGACCATACCCACACCTCAAGGCATTCAACCACCGTTTCCATATCCCTACCCCCCAGTTCCTGTTCAGCATTCAGTTATTCAGGCGAGTGTTCCATGTCCAATCACTGCTTATGTGGGACCAAGTGCAAATTATTTGATTCCACCACCGCCTCCTCCTCCAAGTGTCTTTTGTCAGCCACTTGTCCATTTTAACAACCAGTCATCAGTTCCACCACAAAACTTCCAAACTCCAGCGAATAACACTGTTTCTCCTTCAGCTACTCATTCGGATATAGAACACGTGAGTTAACGTATTTTTTACAACTTTGTTCTCTGTAAGTTTGAAGTTCACTAACGGATTTTATAATCTGTTGCTGCTGAAATTATTTTTTTATAATAAATTTTCACAGACTTTCTGATGTCATCGTAGATCATCTTAATGTGGTGGTCCACCTTTGTTTTCATGCAGGTTGCCTTGCCTAGTTATTTTCTGATTAATGTCCTATAAATGTGATGTATTGGTGTAAAACAATGTCCCCTATTGGATGTAAAACAAATTTACAACAGGCTTCATTCATTCACAATGTCTACCGACTCATGTGATGTTAGACTCAATATTTTCGTCAATTAGTACGGTTTCTTAATATCAGAGCCTTCGATTCGTTGGACAGAAACATGATCTGAAGGTCTGTTGAAAGAGAATGTTACTGGAAAGCTCATTAACATCTTGATGATTCTACTCAAACGCTTCAGGCAGAGTGAGAGCCACTGAGTCAACTATGTTTGTTTCAGTCCGACATGGGTTAGATTGGGTTATCCACTCACTATTTCTCTCGAACTTTGCCATCGATGATACCGGAAACGGATCTAAATGTAAGAAGTGATATAAAGCTGTTATTTATGGAAATGATTTTTGATCATGAGTATGCGGATGGTATTGTTTTTCTGTGTGATGATATTCAAGCTATATAATTTACACAATCGATTTGTAATTATTATATCGACATTTCACGTACTTTGAATTTAAAAGGCCCAATGTACTTCTACAAGACTATCAGGAGCTTGTATCTGTACTTAGTCTATGGTGGGCTGTTAGGAGGAACTGAAGGGTTCCTGTATCTGGGTGGTTTTCTGACCGGTGTTGGTGATGTAACTGATGAGACCAATCTATGTATGATGATAGCCAGGGCTGCTTATGCCATTATGGGCTATCTTTGGAACTGTCGTGATGTTCATCTCCCATTCAAAGGTCGAGTCTGCAACATGCCAGTGAGGGGAGTTTAGTCCTGTATTTGTTACCTGGCTTTCGAGTTGAGGATGGTCGGTGACTACCCGTTGTTTCTGATATCGAATGGGAACACGGCGAAACTCTAACTTATGGACGACCTTTGAACGAATTTAAAGCGACCTTGAGAAATATTAGCAAATCAGCAAACAGCCAGTATAGAGCAAAAATGTTATACAAAACCAAGGAAATAAAGTGTATACACTTCTTATACGTGGTTCAAAAATTTGTCAAGGCTAGAAAGAGGTTCAGAGGTTCTGAAATCGTAATGTATGGAGTAGAGGAAATCATCCATACGGCTACAGAATAGTCGGCCTATGATGCCATGATAAAGTCTCAAAAACTCTTTCAGCCTCGACCACTTAGCTTCAACATTGTTTATGTGCACTCCGGTCGTTGAGTGCACAAAATGCGACTTGTGGATAACGACATGATGCATACAACCAAGCCTATGCAGGAGTCTGTACGCTCTCCAAACATTCGTATATATTGTAGTACTTGGCTGTAGCCAGTGTTACTGGTGCTTTTATTATCCAGTTCGCAATAATTGTCGTAATTTGTCTTAGGAATTATTTATGGGGTTTTCATCACGAACTGACATCAGCTATAATGCCAGAAATTTATTTAGCCAAATGGATGAAAGGCTTTCGCGTTAAAATTCGAGATTTGTTGTTTTATGCCTGATTCGTTCGTCCACAAATTGTAGTCTCGCAGTTTAATTTGTTATAGCCGCTCAATTATCACGTTTTGTAAAAAAATTCCCTGTGAACCGATCGTACGTTCGCACTAAGCACTGAAGTTGGCGCCGTATCCTTGAAGTCTCTAAAACGCCTCTGATTGGTTCGTCCATAAATTGGAGTCTCGCCTGGGAACACCATACGAGTAATGGAGCGCAGTAACGACAATTCACTTGGTGTCACAATCTTGGAACACTATCTTCCATGGATTTTAGATACCTAATGAATGTTACACCAGCGGCTTTCTTATTGTGCACAAATTTCAGATTCTGAGACGGGGTTGAAAAACAAAGAGGTGATCAGTTTGTCATTTTACATCGTGGCGTAAAAGCAAGCAGGGTGAAACTGTCTTATAGATTCATTGCAAATCCCCGGTTGGGATCCGATGAATAATGTTATTTATTGATGTCAGAAATGACTCAGAATAAAAGCCAGTGACGATTCTCTTGTAGTTCTATCTTACATTCGCCATAAAAGTGAGAGATTCCTTAACTTAAAAAAAAACTTTTGTTGCAATTTTGATTGGACTGTTGTTATGTGCTATTCTTGTTTACGTATTTATTTGCTGAACTCTAATTTGCTTTATTTTACAATGTACCACTTATTTGTGCGGCCCATACATTTTTGGTGCCCATTTGTACCAACATGTATATGTATTGAGTAGATCAATTAATTAATATAGATAAACTTAAACATTAGTCCGTTATGCAAGTATTTAATTTTATTTGCGTCCATTGCTTTCGGATCGTCGAATCCTAGTGTTTCACTTAATAGTTGAGCGGCTTGAGCCGGTAGAATTTTTAGGACTAAGATTAATACTTCTTATCTCACTAGTATGGATAAATCCCAAGGTATTTAATAAGCGTAATGAAATCCCCTAGGAAGGCTGAAGGTTTAATAATTCCTAAAACTTTTAGTTTGGGGTTGTGGAGGCCATTTAAATCATGAACCGATAAATGTTTGACCACCATTGAAAACCTGGCAGCACTGGTTGACCACTTCGTCCTAGTATAGGACTTCTCAACAGTAGGCATCCACGCATCCACTGTTGACCTTTAGACCATTGAGCCGGGATCCAACGGCGTTAATGTCTAACTCCAACCAGTCCACGATGTCGCGTGACCACCTTCCATTTTCTCTGGTGGGTAATCGCCCCACACTCGACGCTATTGAATTTCGGTGGTCACAGCTTCTCATTAGAACCTCAAGAATTTCCTCTCGGCATTATTTACTAGCGAGCACATAATAATTTCCGGTTTGGGTTGTGGAGATTGTGGTCTAATACTGTTCGGTTCATAATTTCTATGAAATTCCTAAAACATAGGTTTTGTCATATTAGTGGTCTGGTGTTTTTACCATGCTTAATATTCACTTTCGGTCTTCTATTCAGTTTTACGTCAGGGTTATTCCTGAAAAATTTACAAATGGAAGACTTAAAATACTTGGACTCATTATCTTTGACTGCCACATCTTTATACACTGTGTTAACATTCAAGCTCAAAATAGTTGTTCATTTATGCGTACTCACTCGTCTTACCACTTTATGTTTTTATTTGATAATCCTCCTTAATTGCACTAACACATACATATTCTGTATGTAGGGTAATTCCTACATTTTCTGACTTAGCCTTTGGTACTTTGTTTTATTCACTAATATTTTAAAGTAGCACGTGATATTGGTGCGCATTTATGATAGGTAAATTTGGACATGTTAGCGGGACATAGACTGGATTAAAGCATGCTCAATGCATGATTGCTTTGGTGCACGCTGATTGGCTAATTCTTATCCAATCAGCACTAGTCGATAGTTGGAGAATACTCTGAAATCTTCTCATGTAAAAACTATAAATATACTGACGTTTTCCCTATTGTACTTCTTACTTGCATCTTACTTCCATCTAACCTTGTTACTTGGAATATAATCTCTTTCCTGTTCAACCGTGTTCTGATTTGGGGACTTGTCGAGTGATTGGTGTCCAAGAATATTAAGCGATAGGTATTCGATATCAGTGTCTAAATTTGGTGAAACCCGAAGCCGATGAATATGGTGTTATAGCAGACATCGTCAACAGAGAATGTGAACGGTTCAAGTTACGCTCGTTGACAGATGACCAATTTAAATGCTTAATATTCATCAAAGTTCTTCAGTCACCACAAGATACTGAGATCAGGACAAGACTTTTGGCTTGACTGGATTAAGACCCAAACGTCACACTCAGAACATTGACAGATGAATGTAAGCGTCTACAAAGCATCAGACACGACAACGAGTTGATTGAACAAACAAATCCTAATTTAACCTTCAGTAGTGTCAATGCTATTACTAGATTAAAAGTTCAGAAGCCGATAAAAACTCGTAACAAACCAACGACTGCATGCTGGTTATGTGGTGAGTGGCATTATGTACGATTCTGTCCATTTAAGAAGCATAGATGCCAGGTGTGCAACAAACGTGGACATAAAGAAGGTCACTGTGCACCGAATCGTACGTCTCGGCCCAAGAAGATGCCACATAATACCTTTCGTTTCCTTTGGTATTTTTACTTAATTTCTACTACTCTTGGTAAAATTATGTTTTCATCTTCGCTTTTCTTCTAGTAAATTTCCTGTTTCTTCAGTGCTGCGAATCGCGGGAATGCGTATGTTTACTGAGCTCTTATGTTCCAATACTTGAAAAAATATTTAAATCTTCACATGAAGTATAATATAGAACTGATATAATTCGTTTGATTGGTTAGCCATATACTCGTCCATTGCGCCTAATAAATATTATTAAGTATCGAAAAGAACAATAAACTGGTAATAAAGCATCAATTCCAATAGATTTATGGGTTTCGTATTGTCATGTAGTAGGTGTTTATCGTATCCAAAAACCCTAATGAAACGGGACGATAAAATTCGCCAGATCAGTGGTTTTTGGCAAATAGTGTGCTTTACTGGTAACTTTATTTTAAGTTTCATACTATTTGTGTAGTTTGTAAGATATTAATCACTCCATCCCATGTGATTAAAACTCTTTAGATTTGTTAATAATAATCCGGATGATAGTCTAAAATTCTAAATTTAATTGTTGCTTGACTGTGGTCGCTATGTTGACATCAAAACGCGAAATATAACTCAAATGTTTTTCAGGTTAGAACACAACCCTTAGAAGTTACAGTAGAAGAATCAGTACCATGCGATGATCCTATGGATATAGGTAAGTGAATCAATTAAATATGTAAATTTGTTTCTACATGTGTTTCTAAGCTACGTAAAATCATTTTTTACAGTCCATAAATACTCTATAGTTGAAAGTCTCGTCTGTTTGTTGAATGCCCAGGTACGGCCGCGGGTGGAGAAAGTCAGCTCTCCCTCACAAAATACTCTCACATCGCCACTTGCATACAACCACTGTCAGGGTAGTCCTACTCACTACTTTCTCGTGGCAGGGGTGTTGTTTACGAAATTGAGAGGACGAAAAGAAAGGGACCGGTGCTTTAACGGGGTTGGTCGACACAGAGGATTCACCTAGCGGAGTTGGGAAACCTTGATTCTAAACCGATTGTGCACATGGACTCCAGGATCCTGAAGGAAAAATGACGTATAAACCAATTGTTGGTTACGGGCTACTATGGGACTGCATCTCCTTACGTTGCTTGACTGCCTTGTGGATCAGAACTTTAGGTCGAAGGCTCAGGGTGTGGACCCCTAAGAAAACCACCTGCTTCGGTTTGCGTACTCGGGCAGTATTCCATCCATCACACAAATCGAATGATTTATATGGCACATATCTGTTTAGTGCCTGCTTGTACCAACGTTTGTGTGTTTAAATAATAATAATGAAGTTTGTTTGTTGAATAAATTTGACTCTTCAAAACCACATCAGTCTTTCATGTGAAGAGAACGACCAGCTTCCTTCCTTAGATATACTTATAAGTAGACGAGAAGACGGTTCGATCCAGCGATCCATTTTAGAAAGCCAATTGGCACAGGCCAATACTTTAGTTATTATACTTACTACTCAGTGCAATACAAACGGGGTTTGATAAGAGATCTGTTTTGCAGGATTAAGTGTATTTGCACAAACAACACTATTGATGAATACCTTAGGTTGTTGAACATAACATTAATGGAAAGTGGTTGTCCTCTAAAATTCATAAATCGATGGAAAGGCCATTGCATAGTAAGACCTACCATAGCTTTGGCACAAAAAACTGTCTATATCACCTTATCGTTTAGAGGTGATTCAAATTAGTCTTTTATTTCAGCAAAGGCTTAAATCAGTTGTAAATAAGACCTACTACGCAGCAAAGAACATTATCAAAGAAAAAAGAAGGTCCATACTTTACCAAAGACCTAAAAGGAATGAAAACGATTGCGTCACATCCCATTGTGTTTATTAATTTAAATTTGTGTATGGCCATACATACATAGAAAGCAATATTCTTGATATCCAAATTAGGGTGTCTGAACATGTACCTAAATGGCTGCAAAAACAAGTAAAATCAAATGACCCAATAAGAGTAGATGATAAAAGTCTATCATCCTTTGTTGACAAACACGTATTTGAAACAGGTCATAAGATTGATCTTAATACAGCTTTTGTTGTGTTGTACAAAAGTGTTAAAGAGCCTATACTAAGGTTTATTGAAGCCTTAGCCGTACGGAAATCCAAACCTTTATGTATTCAAGAACAGTTTGTTCTCACCTTAAACATAGCCTGGTAATATTAGCTTATTATCCAGCCTGATGAATATTCGGTTTGAGAAAACATCATGTTTCACTTAAACAGACGATTTTCACACCTAAACAATAACGGCTATCCAGTCAGTCAGCTACAACGTAGAATCAGGCACATATATGCATCAGTCGAAGTTGCCATACCTCATTAGCACAACAAGATAAACACCAAATTCCTAGAGGGAGTTACTTCAATTTATTTATTTGAATACATAAATATTGGTACAAATGGGAACCAAATACATATGGGCCACATAATAATAATGAGAATGTGAAGAGATAGAGAATGTAAAGTGCGTATAATATATAAAAAAATATTGCACATAAGGATATGATATAGGGAGAAAGAATTAGTTCATACAAAAAAGGTATAAAGTAATTTTAGCCTTACGGTTTAAGGGGAGACAAAGAGTGTTTACATCTACGCCATAGGTGAATATGTGGTCGATGCAGCCACAACCAGGTTTGAAGCCAGCCTGGTTTTCTTGTGTTTGCAAGTTCACGAGTCTTTGTTACGCACCCGATAATTATTGAGGCTAGTATTTTAAATGCTATTTTATTCGGGTCGCCAGATAAACGGAGGGTGTATCTTATCGGCTCCCCGTTTTGGCTAGGTGAAGTCAAGTGAATGACCACATTAGGATCCTGTATGTGTGTTTCAGAGACACAGCATACATCAATGGTACAAAATTCTAGGGTCTTAGCCAAGGTGGCTGTTGTGAACGGGGAAATAAGAAGCTCAGACAACTATGAAAGCTATTTTCTTGGGACGTTGTTTCATTTCATTCAAACCTTGTAAAACACTTATATTTATTTTTGTCCCTATTTTATTCTACATAACATGAGTTTACGTTCTATGTAACATTCACTGCCATACCCTTTTTTGTTCCGAAAATATTGTAATTTAAACATAATATTTTGCATCTTATTTTCTACCCTAATTCCCAGTTTCGGGCATAATTGTATTTTTCCAAATTATCGTACGTTGTGGTCAGAATATTCACTTATTTATTCATGTACATTTTTTCACTAATCCAGATTCAGAGAATTCACAATTCAGAGTGTTCCAACTGTCTTGTCTTCTCTCACTTGTGTGCTTGCCAACCAATCAGGTTCTAGAATAGTTCTCTCTCTACCCCATCTCGAACTCGCGCGTACTAGACTCGAGGTTAAGCCGCTCAGTCTATCGCGCCAAGGTTATAATCCAGACTATACAGATCAAGGTCAAGTCATAACAAAGTATCGACGGGGTAAAAGCGATTCAAGGTCATAACAATGGCCTGCTGGCCGATTTGACATAGGGTACGTACGTTGAAGGCTCCAACGTGTAGTATGGAGCGAGGTTTCAATAAACCTGAAAGTGTTTCGCGCGTCAGAATCGTTGACCGTAGTGACACTTGAGGGGGAGTTTAGAGTTGATAGTCGAGGTAGGAGGAGTAATAGGAAATCAAGAGGTGAATTAATTATGAATACAGTGGTCTCGAGTGTTGTGAGAATTATGAGGGTGGTTACCAATTCCCAGTTGCCCACACCGTGGAAGTATTTATCTAGAGGTACCTCAAAAGGAAATTGGGTTAGAGTTGGTTTTAGTGACCTGAGTGTGACCACAGTGCCAAAGGGACAACTGCTTGAGGTCAGTCACACACGACCTTACTGACCAAGTTTCGTGCTAGCTCCGTACTTGTTGGGACTTTACCGCCGGGGACGAAAACCCGTGGGATAAGGGGTGTGTGTTTTCAGTGTCGACCATTTTCAATCCCATCCTTCCTTTGTGGGAAGGCAGCATTACTGTTATGCTGGTTTTTTAGGAATATATCTTACTGCTGTCACAACTCTGTACAGTCAACAGTACGACTTCGCCCTCGAACCTTGGGTTTGTTGCTTTTAGTCTTACCGTTCTTCAACCGACCTGTCTGGCATGGTAGGACCTTGAAGAACGATTGTTACAGCCAGTATATCCCGACTAGTTCATCACGATAGGCAAGCCCGACCACCACGTCAAGGTATCATCACCTTTTCCACTGCTATAGAGTGATATATAGCTGATTGGCGTGCAGTGTAATTTTACTTTAGCTTCCAAACGGATATCATTTTTGCATAGCCTGAAACGCAAGTATGGAAAATCTAACCAAACTTTTCTTATTATGTGGCAAGATTTCATCAGAAACCAATTCACTAGGTCTACTAAATATGTGCAAATATATATGCCGTCATGTAGTCGAATACTGCTTTTAATTCATGGAATATAGTTATTATTAAACGTCGGCAAATATATCTACCTTCCAAAACGATGAGGTGAGACGTTTTTGTGTGTCACCCTTTTTTCCGAAGCTTTCTGCCCTCGAGGTTCAGTTAGATGTTGAGTGATTAGGGAACCTAATATCTCAGAAATTATGAGATAGTCAAAATTTGTAGCTCAGGTAGATGGTTTTGGTGGAGTTTTGCTTTTTGAGTTGGACGGTTAATTCTTGAAGCTGTCATTGTTCTTCTGAATAACGTCGTCAGCACAAACTAGGTAATCTTCCGAAATAGATATGTTGTGATTCCTCTTATTGCTTAGTTTTTTTCACTCGGCATGTCCCCAGATCAGGACACGGTTGGACAGGAACGTAATTATATTTCAAATAACAAGGTTAAATAAAAGTAGGAATCAAGATAAGCAAAACGTTATTATATATATTATTACCATTATATTAGAATATTGGGGTTTCCTCCAAGTATCCGCTAGCGCTGACTGGCTAAGAAATAGCCAATCAGAATGCCCCTGCATGGAACATGCTTTAATCTAATATCTCGCTGACAAGATGGCACTCCCGATCTCATTGTATAAATTTTCTCTGTTTTCTTTTGCCTACGTTTTATTGTCATTAGGTCGCTCCGAATTGCTCTTTCTATGAATTAAAATCTCAATTGAATAATTATACAAATTGTATTTTCTTAAAGGATATTCTTACACTTATGTCCCTTATTTTTCACAGAATCTTTAAGTCCTAATAGTCCTGCTGATGAATCTACTGCATCATTGTTACATGAAAATTCGGAATTCTGCGGAGAACGTCATTCATCTAAAGTCAGCGAAAAAAGTTCATACCGACAACCTAACAAGATTGCTTGGCATGATGTCCATTTATTGTTGGATGATGTTTCTGAAGATGAAGAAAAAGATGTGATTTCGAAGTCACCAACCTCTCTTGGAAACTCCATTCCATATTCAGACCATTCCTCAGTTCTAAGGTCACCACATACAATTTCTCAGTCCTATGATCGGAACCTATCAGTTCAGAGTACTTTCTCCCGTAATATTCATAATGCAGATGATTGCATACGCTCTACCTCACCTATCGCTTACGATGAACGCAAACATCGAAATAAATACATGACATCTACTTTAGAATATAATCCAGAAAATTGTGTTTCGAACTTTAAAACTGAAAGTGCAAAATTATGTTATGAACAAAAGTCTGATTCTAACGATTCATACTCAACAAATACATCTACGAATCGTACGAATCATAATCACTCTAAGTACTCAAGGTCGTCCACTTCACCCTTCTCTACTAGTCAGTTATGCGATGCGAATGACTGGTGTACAAAATCTACTGGGATGAGCTCGCGAATCGAAATATATCACAGTAGTCAATCAATAAGAAGATCCCAAACTTCGATTAAAAGTAAGGTATTTAATTAAAGATCCTCTTGTATTGTATTCTGCGATTTTTACCGGTGAAGTTTACGAATTTTGTGTTTCCATTTAGAAATTGTCGCTGATCAATACAATTTTATTTAATTATTTTAGTTGACTATTTCTAGAATTATATCTCTACTATTTTACACTTAAGTAATTTAAAATGGGAACAATGAGTTATGTTTTGCGAGGAATGTGTATCGTAAAATAGTCTGAATATAAGGTATTTTGCTTTTTTAATTTTTTTGAATTATTTGTGAAAGTGTAATAGTTACAGATTTTGTATATTCTACTTAAGGGGAATGGTGAATTGTAATTCTTCGTTATTATGCCTATCAGGTATATCATACAACTATAATATGTCTCATAAATATGTCAAAGTAAGGTTCGATTCCTTGTACAACTTCAAAAAACAACCAGTTTTGAGGAAATGCTTTATTTGAGCATCAATTAAAACTCTAGCGATCGTTCCAAACAAGTATTCACTTACGCTGACCATGTTTACTTTAAATAAAGTACTTATGAAATCATGCATTTACGGGATTTCGACCTAGTAATTTGTGTAATTTATCAACAAAGAAATGGATCCCGTTTAAATTGTATTAGATACATTGCAATAATATACAGAAATAGGTTTAAGTAACAGACTCGTTGTACAAAAATCTGCGTATTCCATTAGATGATTCGTTTAATACAATCTGATCGCGTGTAATATATGAATGGTGATTAGTTACAATTATGTTTGATACCGTTCAAAACTGACACCGGTGGAAAAGTAGGTTGGACAGGTCGTAGTACGAATAGTTCAAGATTTCCTTACAGTTTAAATTCTAGATAAACTTTAAAATTTCATGTTAGTCAACTTTTCATAGTCTACGAACCCATTTAATGTATTCGCCTTTTTATAAGTTGTTACCTTGTATTGAAGTAAGTCCAGTTAGCCTTAAATCTCAGTTACATACAGCTTTTATTCCAGTTGGTGTCCAGTCTTATGATGATGATTGATGTATACTTTTATGACCTAGTAAGATTTTGTAGGTAATCAAAGTCTCATAATTTCTGATCATTTAGTAGTTGTAAGGGAAAAGAATTTATTCAAAGTAAATGTGTTTGGTCAGTAACTCATCTAGTAAAACGTACTATTGTATTCAATACTGCTAGGTGATCATAATTGATTTTGTTACTATGAAACGATTATTTCCATATATTGCTTTTGAAATAGATCAACCAGTATATAGCCCAACGAGCCACTCTGAGCGTCATCTCTCAGACACGTTTAGACAATCACATTACACGAAAAGTCCGGATATTTTTATGGATCGTCGTTTAAAATCAGATTATCCATCGAGCAGTTCTCTGTCCAATCAGTTCCGTTCATCACCAGATTCTATGGTATGTATCATTGAGAGATCATGAAGGTTATACAGTCTAAGTTAATAATTTAAACATTATTAAAAGTTCTGAAGGACCTCATGCCACATATTCCGAGATGATCTAGAGTATTTTTATCACAGGATGAGGATCTTGAAAGTGTTGTGAAGCTTCCATTTAATGCCTCACATTTCAGCGTCCGCTCATTAGGTCGAACTCAAAGGTTGATTACAATAAATTGATTTACAAATTTCACATTCACCTTCTCTTGGTTAAGTCTTTCGTTGTACTGCAAATACTCACTAAGAGTTCTTGCTCATGGCATTTCGGTAAGGTGAAAATCCCAACTCATGTGAAATTTCCCAGCTACTATTTTATTGCCGCTGCATAGACGACACCATTATAGGGCAAGGTTAGTCTACTTAAAATATTTAACTGCATCCATCCATCTATCACACTTATACTAGAAAGACGTTAAAGAAAAGTATACATCAAAATTCAACATCAGTTGCTCAATATTATCCATGTTTATAGTCGCGTAACTCGTGCAAACGAAACCTAGTCGACAGTTCAACACATTGTGTGAAAATTATTTGCTCCAGTGATACAATTAAAGAAGAGTTACGTACTATCCGCAGCTTACTGAGCGTGAGTGCTTATCCGTTAAAATCTATTGAAAAGCACATGACCCAAGTTAGGACAAAGAAAAAACTAGTTCCTGAAAAGCCAGTATTTTTAAAGCTGTAATTCTCAAACGATACTATAATTAAATTAGTAATACAACGAGTAAGAAAATCCTTACAAAGGACATTCGATGTGGTAAAATTGTACGCCATATTTTACAACCGACCGAGTATTAGCACAGAAAATAAGGGCAAACTTCTCCAATACCCTTCATCTATATGCGTTTGCCATTTCAACTGCTCACGTGGAGCCGGATACATTGGGCTCACGATTTGGCAAGTCTGTCACCCTGTTTTGGAATATCATCCCACCTGGGTAGGTAAAGGACAAGTATGATTGATTGATAGCTCTTTACAGGCTCATTTGATGGATACAGGACATCAAATAGCCAAAACAACCCGTTTCAAACTATCCACTGGGTCCCACCAAATATACCGCTTGGTTTACGCATGTATTTTCCATACAGCAAGAGCCATCAGTATCTGCTTTAATAAGCCTAGTCTGTGCCTCCATGAAGTTTATACAATCGCACTCCTCACCTCAGCCGTCATAATTACCAATATCTAAGTGAGTTACAAATGACTTGTTAAACAATACTACTACTGTTGTTTTTACTTAGTCTTAATATTCTCTTTATGATTACACACCTGATATTATTGTTGGACTTATCAAAAACTTTACCAGTCCTTTAATTGCATGTTCGAATTGTTTACTACGTAACTGCTACTTATGGTGGACTTCTTACCAAACTTGTCAGTTCCATTATTATCAATCCCTAAACTATTTATTATTTGATTTTATATTGGCTTTATCAATAAACTTATATGTACGTTCTCTGATTGTGTGGTAGGTTGTATTTGTTTCTATAGAAACAAACGGCCTATATTTCCAAACTCCAGAAAAGTCTCTGGTAATCAAACTAAAACTTATTTTCAGGGTAGATGGCGTTTCCCAGTTCAGTTATCTATTCAAGCGTAGCCATGTCTTGTAGTTCCGACTATCTTACTTGAAACAGCATTCTCTTGATTTTGCCTATTAGATTGTCCATGTTAGCTCCCTACAGTTTTGGATTTCGTCTAACCAATATAACGACTGACCTATTAGGGTATGATGATAACTGTTTTCACTAGTGTAGTCCAGTAAAGTATATGTCGGTTTGCTTGAGATTTGAAATATCGACGGTAGTTTCTCTCTGAAATACTCTTTAAGGGGTTTTAATTTAGGGTCTAAAATTGTATATTGCTGCATATCTGATATATTGTTACTCAACTTATGTAGCTCTACTATCAAACATACGTCGATCACTCAAATAGGACCAAAAGCAGGAATTTTACGTTAGATTCTCCATTGTTTTATACTTGGCCTTACAACAATTAGCTTACTAAGATAAATCAAACCGAAAAAAAACAATATTATATACGACTGCTTAAAATACTTTATGATATCAAAATCTCATTTGTCTGTTTTGTTTAGGTTCAGACGAAGATGCGAAGTAACAAAAGTTATCCTAACATTACATCATCCTGTGAATGGGCAAGAAATGAATCACGTTCCCCTGAAGAACATTCTAGTAGATCATCCTCAATGTTCTCACAAGGTAACTGCTCATTGTCGTCAGTTTTAGAACGTGTGACACCAGAACCAACACCAACTTCCCAATACCCCAGTTCATCCACCTATAAGACTTTCGAAACAGGTAGAACATTGAGTTTCAAAATAAAACACTACTTTTTCCTCTTTATCTAATTATTATACTTTTTAAATCATTTTATATCGGTATTTTAGAAACAGTAAATGCATATTCTCCTGACTTCGCTTCTGATCGGTTAACTCGGAAACGCGAAATCGAGGCCAGATTGAAAGAAATTGAGTCAACTGAGCGGAAGCTGCTGAACTGGAAAAAAATGCAGAGTTACGGGAAAGAAGCACGATCGTTCACAAACCGTGATGATGTGGAATATGGACCAGATTATAAGAAGTAAGCACTTGATTTGAAGTGTTGAATTTCTTACATTTTATTCGTAGATATTGTTTCCAAGTCAAACAGTTCTATATACAAGTTGTAGCAATGTTCGGACATTACTAAGTTACTGCATAACATTTAGTTCATTAAAAGCTATGGTCAGTAGGATCCGCTCTCATTTTAAAGTGCAGTCATCTACAAAGTTCGCCATTATGTAGAGTTTGCTTATCTGGGAAATTCAGCAGAAATTTCGAGATTGGCAGCCTACGGCTGATTTTCGGTACTAAGTAGCTAATCGTTTGTGTCATCTTTATCCAGGTCCAATATTCGCATAATAAACATGTTTTAAGATAAGCCTAATTGGTAATAAGAAAAATAATACAGTCGTGATAGGTTTGTAGGTAAGCAGCATTAAACTTAACCTAAATATCGCTCATTCTGGACACGAACATGTAATTCAGATGAACTAAAGAATCTTAAAGCTCAAAATCCCGGCTAAGAGAATCTCTTCCGATAATTGTAAGCTCATCGGAACAACATTTTAAACGTTACAAGGAACACAATAGACCAACAGAGATCAAATTATACTCTAGATACAAGTTCCAGCTTACTGTTTTACAACAGGCTTTTCAACATAGTTTGAGGAAATGCCTAAAGGATGAGTAATTTAAAATTTCCTAAATTTATATACTGTATTTCTTGTTAGTGACTGTGATTGTTCTAATTATAATTTTCTTTGAAATTAAAAAAAACACTTCCATTTTTGACTTCTAACTATTTTTGTAGACTCCCGAAGAAATATACGAAGTGATTTCGGCAAGAAGAACAAACCACTAACTGATGAGTTAGCAAATAGTTCTACACGACTGTTAATCTCAACGTTATGTCCTCAAATCAGTCCCATGAACTGTGATTATGATGAAGTCAGTGTGCACCAGCTTGAAATGATTTATTTCGAAAGTACATGTGTTGTTTTTGCGTGCATTTTTATGTTCGCTGAAGGCACATCGATTTCATGTATAGACTATAAAATCCATTTATTTGATTAGAAACTTTATTAATAATAAATTATTCTAAATTAAATATTGACAACAAATCTTCATTAAAGTGGAATAAAAGTTAGTTTAAGTATCACAAATTGCAATGTTATTTATGCTTCACTTGGCCAATTCGAGTTCCTTTTTATGTTCTGTAAAAGTAAATAATAATTTATGCTGACGTGTTGGTGTATCATCTGAACGGTACGCAAATTGAGAATGGGTATGAACAAGAATATTGTTGCTGTATAAGAATTAATATGATAAACCCACACAGACCAAAAATATCCCATCGTACTGTTAGTACAAGTTATAAACATTCCGTCAAAAATGTGCTAACATTCGCATCGATGGAATAGGCTCATTAATACCTCGTATAACAGATCTTACTATTGAATACTTGAAAATATTGAGAGTAACGTCGACCAACAATGAAAAAAAGAAATTTACTATCACTTATTACTCAGTATCTCTAGCGAACAATGCGGAGTATCCATTAGCATTTATCGGTTAGTGACTTCGGATTAATTTCTATAATGCTTTACATATAATAACTTGCACTGTTAGCTTCCGCCAAAGTCTAACTAAACGCATATTAAGTACTGTGAACTGAAATATCTTCTAATGAAGGTTCATTCTATGTGACAGCATCTGTTCGTATGAAAACGTCGAAATTTATTTAGATGAGGAATAGATAAATATCAGTTGTGTAATAAGTACTTACTTTTAATGACTGAACAAAATTTCTTATGTGTAAACCAGTGTAAACGTTGACAAGAGACTGAACAGTAAGAAGTAATTTTGCATTGTTGACATGCTTTCAACGTTCCTGGTTTTCCCAGTTCAGGACCATCTCCACATGTTGCGCAAAGTTCAAGAGGACGAGCATTGTATATAATAGTACCGTTGATTGTTTTTGTAAGAACAGAGAACGCTGTTGGCATACGGCCTAAATCTAGTGGGGATATTTGTTGGACAATATGTCTCCATAGGGTCGATTGATGGTGGGGGAACGAAGTCAAGGATTGTCGTAAGAATTGCTCTTGACCTATTTGATAAGTTATGGATGCACTATTTCACACCACTTACCTAACGGCAAACCATAGGGCTCTGTACCGACTAAGAATTTTCTAATCAGTTGTTTCAATGGTGAAGAAGCACGATCTTGAATATCTGTAATTTTCGGCTCTTTGTCGTAATACTCTCCGGCTCGGCGTATACAACAGGCCAATAAATGAAGTTTTAAGGATAATGGTTCATGTGTTAAATGAGGTGTGAAATATTTGTTGCATAAATCTTCAAGAATAGTATGGATGCAACGCCAATGAGTCAACATACATTTCTCGTAATTTTCTCCTGAGCGACTACAGGTTTCGATCTCATTGTTCATTAGCAGAAAGACCTAAAATGTATAAGGGATTCCTCAATAAATATATTACCTCACAGTAAAAAAGTGAGTTAACTGACATTTGAGTATTAGATCAAAGGATGAAAGATATTCTACAGCTTAAAAAAATAACCAGACCTAATATATTTCTCTGTAAATTTAATGAAAACATCTATGCACATTTGGGTACTTCGATTACGTGTATGGCGGCTGAACCGCATTAAGACACACTTAACAGTGATGCACATTATTTTTCACCAGTACGAAATCTTGTCACTTGCTCTAAATTTTTTGTTTGTTTAAGACCATTGTAACGCTTAAATATTTCAAAGTAGCTGGGAACATTTTAGTATGATTTTCTGAATGAACCAAGTGTAGAGTATGTCTGTGTGTCTAAAACACTCAGTACTTGTCGACCAGCGATGTCTACTCAAACGAAGGATAAGTTACCTGAGTTGGCCTCTTCCATGTGTATTTACAAATTCAGCTACTCATGTGGAGATAGCTATATAGGGCGTACTACCAGGTAACTTAACCAACGAATGAGTGAACATCTACCAACTTGGTACATAAAGGGCCAGATAAAATCTATTCGCAGTTCTATATTGGCACATCTTATTGATAGCGGTCATGCTGTAGATAAATCGAAATCATTTCGAGTTATCTATCGTATACCTCCATCATTTCCCGACGGAGTCCGTTCCCGTCCCCTACATATAGCTGAAGCTATTAGAATTCGTACATATAACCCCAATTTATGTGTACAGAAGAAATACGTGGCCCCCCTATCCCTTCCATGGCCGGTTATAACTTAACTAACAATTATTTATTTTAAACTTTATTATTATCATTATTTATTTTATTCTATTTGTGTTATCATTAACCTTATTTTCACATCTAGTATTTGTTTGTAATTTTCCGCCTCTTCGTATTCTTCACTACCTAATTATTTATACACATCTTATTGCGTAATGATTTTAATGTTTTGTGATTACTATTCCTAGTCTATTTACCCATGTTTGACCTTCTATTCCCAACGTTTAACTATTGATAAGAGTTTTGTTATTGTATTTTACTATTCTTACTATTATCAGTTCACCTGTCTTCCTACTATAAACTTGTACTTTTACCTATTATGTGTAGAGACTTATCCTATTTCATTGTGATTATTGACTCATATTGCCTTGATTGGTTTAAAATTTTCGTATAAATATTCATGTATATTAGAGTAAAACCTGATGACGATCTAATTGAAAACAATTGTTCGCTTATATGTGTTGTTGTAATAAGATAATCTTCGTCTTCTTATTACACTATAAAAATGTTTATTATTTTGATAATTCATTAAAACCGATTTTTTAGTAACCTTTAGACTTTTTTTCGCGAATAACCTCGACATAACTGACATACGATGAAGAATTAACCTGTTTACATTCAAACCAATTTAATTTATTAAAAATTACTTTCTAGGCTCTTTTATTTTGAGGGGTGTCTTAACAACTGTATGCAGTTCACATTACTTGTCAGGCTTTTTCAAATACACATTAAATGCTCCAACTTACAGGCTACATACGAAAGTGTACTTAGTTTTATTATCTTATGCTATATATAGTGGCATCAACTGTAAACGACCAAGGGAGTGCCGGACTCGAAATATATCTGGATGGAATAAGTATGTATAACAAACTTTAGTTGTAGGTAATTCACCCACGGAATTGAGTTTTGTAAAAGCACTATCTGATACACCGTCCGACCTCAAAGGAAAGAAAGTAAATCTGTACGTGGTGGGTAACATATGAAGCCAAATTAAAATTACTTTTGACCGCAAACACGTTAGAATGCATTGAGCATTCACGTACGTACAAATTGAACCTGAAGTTATAAATTGGCAGTATCCCGATCATAAATAAATGATGAAGTCTTCCACACGATATCCGATAGATTTGATCAACTACTTTAGAAAGGAAAGTGGAGTGATAAAATTGTCAGATTATGAGTCCCTTATCAATGAAATTTTTGAGTCTTTATTTTTGGCTAATCAATCACATCAGCATCCTGGGATGTGGACACACAATCGGTTAACACAGGTTGCTTAATCAGGAAATGATAAAGATGTATATTTTTGACTTGTATACACGTCTACTCAAATATATCCTATATAATGACCAATTTTGGGTTTATGTGAAGGCAACTGTTATGAACAGCTTTTTTACTTTTTTGATCATTTAGTTTGGTAAATCCGAGGTGTTTTTCCACTAAACCTTAAGTTTTACGTAATTTGTCGTTAACCTAATGATACACTTGATGTAAAAGCTAAGATGTGAACTGTATGAAACTTCATTTGCGAATATGTAGAACATAGCTTTAAGAGGTAGTGATCGCCATCTCACATCGATTTTCGGCAGTTGCACACCGAAAATTTACAAATAGAAGTACGATGACCTTAGTGCATAAACAGGGCGAAAGATGGAATGGACAAATTATAGTCAAATGGCAAAAATAAAAGGATTTAGGCATTGTTTTACTGAGACGCATACGTATACTGCGGGGATATTATGGTTATCAATGGAACAACAGCTACTCACATATAGATATGTAACATACTTTAACAGGTGAAATATTTAGCTGCAAAACTAGTTTGTGAATCGTAGATACATGTTCAGGCAATAATTGTGACTTCGACACGTAAACGGCTATTTCTTCTCTTTCCAGATAGTTATTAATAAGAGTGACGACGTTATGATTCCCTCATTTATTATTACAGGTAAGTTTGAATACCTACCTACAAATGCGGCCATTTGAGAGGCGGTCCTGCCGATACTGTTTACATCATTTATTCGAGCCCCATAATGAAGAAGAAGTTCAACAACCTCAATGTTTCCTACAAAATTGTAGAGATAAAGTAACAAACCTGAAAGACCAGCAAACATTAGGGCAGTATAACCCTGTTTGTGAGAAGAAGAGTTTACATTTGCGCCATATTTGAGAAGAAACTCAACGACTGGAAGGTTTCCCCGGAAACAAGCCAACTGCAGTGGAGATAAGCCCTCCTATTCAGATTAGTCTAGAAATCCAATTATTCACTTTGTCATAGGAGTTGATTAGTGACCTATCCTCTGAAAGGAGAGATTTAACCTTTTCTATGTCCGCTGCCACAAATGAAAATGACAAGAAAAACTTACATGTGGAAATCGCAGCTCGAAAAGAGTCGAGTATTTCTTCCGAACTCTTTAAAGTACAGTAACACAGAAAGAACTTACCATAACTTTGTTGCACTTCTAAATATTAGACAGCAATTGCGTATGCTTAATCATATATTTGGTCTAACCTATAAATATAAAACCGTAGAGATAAAATAAAGTATATGTGAAAGATTTATTAACAGTTTGGTTTTTGAATGCACAGATAAATGCATCTTTTCGGAATACAGCTTCGTTATTTTCCTTTTTGGATTTTTTTAGCCATTTTGATAAAACGGATACAAGTGGCAGGGTAAATGCAATATTTTTTCGTAATGTTTTCAATAGTCTAGCAACTTAATCTCATTTAGGAGTAAGTGAAAAGTAAACGTTTTTTTCTCTAGAACCATCTTCGTTGTAGATTATATCCAGATAGCCTTTCACATGGTTTTATTCTACTTATACATTGTCCGTAAGATTATGCTTCGAGTCTCATGTTCTAAATATTTTAGTGCTTGAGGCACTTTTCATACTGAGGTGAAGCCAATAAATGGAAATAAGCAGGTACACTAGCCTTTAAATTTCTTTTGAGAAGTATGAGGCTGATACATACTACCAGAATTCCTAACATTGGGACATAAATAGGCAAAAATCATACATTCTGAGGTTTCATAACCAGATTTTATTTCTGAACAAATGGCACTGAACGAATTTTCACTTATCTTTATAATAATGTTGCTGAAGAAGATTTGCAGTGAATCGATACTTCCACGAAGCTGCATATCTCATCACTGAATTCGGGTTAAAAAGTAAGTAGCGTGGTACTTATTGCTATGGCTATTTTTATAGCAGCCCAAAGGATACTTACATATATAGCTAATAGGACGTCCGTGGACAGAGTTGACATCTACAAATATACACGAACAATTGTCCGTGTGTATGCCTTGTATTTTTGTCCGATCTTACGCTTATCACGAAAATATCCTCAATTCGATGGAAGAGGCTACTGCATGCCAACTCCCGTTCATAGGTAAGGCGAGAGTTAAAGATAGAACTTCTGAATACATTCCTAAGACTTACAAGTGCCTCGTGAACCATGAACCACCAAATCCCTGAACTTTTCTCGAAATTAATCGCTCAAATTCATTTTATTTTATTTTAAAAACTGCTTTAGCAACGCACAGAACACAAAATTTCCATTACCCATACGAAAATTCCTATTCCGGATAACAATATGGTGACCCTGAAACAGTCATCTAGAACAAATTGTCCGCTTCCGAACAGTTAACCAATCTTAAATAGAGATGTACGCAATATCTTTGACAAGCCCGTATTAACTAGACAACTTATTTATGCTAGATTTTTGTTGTTTTTCTACCATTCCAAGTTTTTGATAATTTCCAATGAGCAGTAGTCTAGCCACTCGACTGCCCTGGTTCCTGTCAGATTGGTAGTTATTTGTAGGTTTTAATATCTTGTGGTCTGGTTTTTTTCCCAGGGATTCGGAATACAAGATGTCATTGCATAACCAGGCAGAAGGGTGGTTTTATGCGGGAAATGATAAGGCGTAAGTTCGAATGCTAATGCAAGATTTTCTTATGAAGTGAATAAACGGGTTAATAAGCCCAAACGATTCAAATAGTTCAAATGGCTTTAGACAGAATAGAAGAAGCTTTCGCTTGACGGACTTTCGTATCTAATAGCAGCGGATCATCAATACCTTCAGGCAGGAACCTAGGTATATTATCGATAAAAGAGGAAAGAGAAAAAAATTGGTGAATCATAGTAAGATACTATCCTAGTCACTAAGAATATGTCAAGTTTTCTCATAAAGGACTCCTGAGAAGTCACTTGGAGTAGCTCGGTCGGCAGCAAATCACAGAGCTTGACTACTCTTAGGGAGTAGAAGGTGGGTCTACAGTCCCTTACGCTGTGTTTTGTTTCCAATTTCTGGGTAATAAGCCTAAGTTTTGTATTGGGACCAAGCTTAAGTAGGTGTTCAAGTGGATATCAAGAGGTATTTAGGATGCTGTAAGCCATTTGGACGTCACCTCGAAAACGCCTGTACTCTAATGGATAAAGGTCCAGTTAATGGAGGCGCTCTTCTTAGGGCTTGAATTTGAAACCCCGAACTGATTTCTTGGCTCGCAATTAGACATGTTCCAGAGTGTCCTTATCCTTTTGGAGTGAGGGAAGAAATATCATGTTTTTGTACTCTAAATGGGGATGAATAAGAATGTTGAGAATTGTGTGTAATGTTCTTTCGTCAAACTGGCCAATGCTACCAGTGCAAGGTTTGCTCCAACTGCATTTTTGTTGCAGTTAACATAAGACTTTAAATAGTAGAGACGAACACTTTCAGATATATTTTAACTTTGGATACCTCTACGGGGGAGTTGCCTAAGCTGTAGCTGTAGTCTTCAACATATCTTAGATGGACTACTCTACACTTTGAAGTGTTAAATGTAAGTCCATTGTCATCTGCCAAACTTTGAAGACGAGTCAGATACTCCATAGGTGCCGGTTTATTTTCTCCGTTGAGTTCCTCTCTCCAAAGTTTCATATTCTCAGCAAAAAGTAATAATTTGGACGACACGTGCTGTGAGAGATAGCTCATATAAACCAAGAAAAGAAGAAATCCTATTACTGAACCCTGGGGGACCCCACTTCGACGTTTCATAGCGTGAGAGAAAGTTACGTTAACCGTTACCTCAAAATGTCGATTTTTTTGGATGTGAAGTTAGCCAATCATTTAAGGGTGGTTTGATTTTCCGACAACAAAGACTATCACCAAAGATGTCAACAACTCAACTTAGAACCTCTTTGGATCAGACGTATCAAATTAAATCTTGTATTTATCTACCGGTTTATTAACGGTATTTCCTACTCTTCGGTATCCACCCAGCCGTACCTAATGATATCATCCCACGATCTGTAGAATTATGGTCTACTATGATATTAGTACTGCTCTAATAATAAACCTAATCCTAAACTTGTCGATTTGTCATGATATAACTGCCTAATCTATAAGATCTTACGTTGAAGTCACACCATCGACTACACCAACTCACTGTATCGTATCAATTACCAATACATGATGAGGAACAAGGTTAGGCTAGAGAAAGAACAATATATTTAATATGAATAGAAGATATAAAGTAACACTGAGATGGACCACGTCTGCATGGACGAGCCATGCCACTCGATCAACTCCAGTCCATTCATTCATTGTTCGCGCCTTCTCCATTGTTAGGTATTTCTCCGCGTTAAATATTGAATATCTATTTTCTGAGTAGTCTCGTGTTCACAGCTTTGTGGATTGTGTGGCTATTGTCCAATGCCACTACACTACTCTCCCACCAGAATCAACGTGATGTTGGTTCGATACCAAATTGGATGGGATCATCGCGCGCCGGAGGTTACCAAGGATAATAAGAATCCTCCGGGTATTGGTAAGCTGAAAGATAAATCAAAAAGAAAGCGGCAGCATCTGGTCGGGAAATACATGTAATAATTTTAAAATATCTGCCTTCATGCTTAAAACGCTTGAAATGAAAATTTGGATGATTATTTGAGCAATAAAAAATGGGGTTACAATAATAATAATAATAATAATAATAATAATAATAATAAAACGATGCGTGTCAATAGCCGTTGGTTAATAACTTAACGTATAGGTAGTAAGTATTTTGTGTTTAGAAATATTAAAATAATCAATATTGTAGAAATGTTAATATTGGTATTAGTTTTGGTTTAAATTATGAAATCAAATAACGATTATGCCGGTAAGTTGTCCATAAGAGTTGAATTCCAATTGCATATGTATTAATAGGCAGAAGTATACCGTGGAGAAAAATTCCAACTAGTGTTCCAGTTAGTTTGATACGGTTTATTTAGTTACGGGGAGATTTTCTCAACCTCATTTTTACTTGACCGTGATAGAATTTAGTAATACTACTAATATACATGAATGGTTATCAAAACAATATTTAAATACGTGAGTGATAATTATGTGAATTTTGGACAGATAGCTAGAAACAAATCGTTAAACATGAGTGTATTCGTAAGAGACATGCTCTGGACTCAATGTTCTGATCTGTCGCAGACTATTTATTTATATTTATACTTGCCGGCTGATTGGGCATACAAGTTAGTTGCAAGTATGCAGTTTATCATAAGGCGGAATACGATTTAATTGAGATATAGTGGGTATAAGTTACTAAAATCAGTTAGGCCTGTGTCATATTACGAAGTGATGTGGTGCTGCGAAATGTATTTAGCTAAATAAGTTTTTACAAGATTATTAATAGTGAGTGATGCTCATGTGATTATCAGGGAGAACATAAGTTGTAACCAGGGGGAGTACACTCCCAACTCATGTCTATGATAATGGCTTGAACCTTAGTCAGTGTTGGGGTAAATTCGACATTGATGTTTTCAGTTTACAGGAGGTTTGCTCGACTGCTTATACTGATTATTTGCATGCATGATTGTGTCGCTAAACCATCAATTAGACTGACAAGGTTTTGAGATATTTACTGAATGAGCAACTGATAGAGAAACATACTGTAATCATCTGTGATGGATGAAGGTACCAAGAAAACAACACCATTTAATGGTAATTATAAGTCAATTTGTTGACCGATTTCGTTAATAGTTTCATTGATTTCATCAGTCATATTACGTGATTGTCAAGTTATGACAATGCTTTATGACGATATCCTGAAACTATTAAATTTAACTAGTTATAGTGTTGATTAAGGATTAGTCAGTGGAAAAATAGGTATTGTTGCTTTAGGTGATTCAAAATCATCAGAAATTTATAACGTTAAAGAATCAGAGACGCCTAATTTAATTATAAATTTCAATTTATAAATATTCGTTTAGTGTTAATTCTAGTAGGCTACGGAGTTTTGATTTTAAACGTTTGTTTAGCCAACAGCTACCTGGGGATTTAGTTATTTTACTAGTGCATTTGATAGTACCTAAATTTTTAATCTTATTATCTAAACTATGTTCGCATTTTAGGCTGCTAATATGATAAACCAATCCATAAACCCAAATACGATTAGCAACAACGACTATGATGGGTTTATTGATAAATGTTAAAGGCGATCCAGATGATTTCTAAATTTATAAGACATGGAGATATAGTGTAACGTATGTATGGGCGAGGTTAACATGCAGGTTGTTGACGTATAAGACGATTTAAAAATAGTGAACATGACCAAAAAACAGTTTTAAAGTTTAGACTGCTTGTGAAACTTCAGGCAGGAATATGATGCGTTATAAACCTTCCATAAGAAGTTACTGCATTCAGCTTAGTGACACTTACAAATATATGGCAAAAGCAACTGAAAAACATATACATGTTAAGTACAAAAAAAATCATTAAGTAAAATAGTTGAACTCGCCTGGGTTATTTTTGAAAATTAGATTATTCAGTGGACGACATATATAACGCCATTCGTGAGTAGTAATGATCCAAAAGTATCCAGAATAAAACATGCAGTATGGCAATTAATTCCAGGGTCCTTGATGCTGTTGACGTTTTTGACACTCGCTCGGATCAGAACAACCGAATGAATCCAGATAATTGTGCGGTCACCATTGAACGAGCCATCTAAAATGAGCTTATGATTGCAGAAAACTTATGGCTGAAACTCACCGTGTTTTTAGAGAAGTGTCATCCTTGTTGTTTGGCAATGTAACTCGAAAATTTGAAATTAGGCAGGCAGTGGTCAGAAGAAAAGATATTACAGGGTAGTGCATAGTTTAAAACAGGATGTGTTAGGTGAGGGAACGCTGATAATTAGATCCAGATAACTATTTAGTCCTTGATTGCATTGTTAGTCAATGTATACTTACGCTATTTACAGGTCATATTTGCTAGAGCTTGATGTTTAAACAAGTCTATGTCGCTGAAGTAGGTAAATGCTATTAAAGCTTGTTAACGAACAATCAGAGCTAATTAGTTGATATAGATGATCAACTTTTATTATCGATTGAGCTAGTGAGCAATGTGAACTAATCTTTTATCAAATATAGCAAATATAATGCTAACGTTATTGAAACTTGTGTATAATTTCATTTTTGAAGAAACCCAAAATGTACCCATAAGATGTTTGTGAATAATAATAATAATAATACCTAATCGTTTGACATTATCATCCATCTATCCCCTGCAGTCAGCAAGTTGGTTATATAAGAGTGACGGTTTCTGAGGCCGTGCTGTTGGAGTGGAATGAAGTTTGTGGATAATAAATTTTCTTGTATACCGGCGTATATCAGGGACTGCATAATTTTTGAAGGTATAGAGGGTATTGTTACCGGTCGGTAGCTTGAAGGTTCGCTGCGTCGACCTCCTTTGAAAATTGATGTGATGCGAACCAGCTTACAAATTTCCGATAATGTGCCTCGGTTTAGCGAATGTGAGGACATCACGCCATGTGATGCGGCCTAGATTAAAGCTGCTTCCCTCAATATAGCAGAATTAATCATATCCACACCGAGAAGTGTCTTCTCTAGGTGCTTCGGTTCCCGGTACACCACATCAGCGTTCAGATTCACTTCTGAAAGTCCTGTGGAGTTGCAGATGAAGCTTTCATCAATATAGCTAGTGTGAGTCAGTTGAAATGTTCGAGAGTACTGTTCAAACAGAGGATTAGTGGCATCACCGTTGTTGTTGGTCGGGCCATTAGGAACTAGCAGTTTGGAAACTCCAGTTGTGATTTGTCAAGGAGAGACTGCATAACGGAATAAGCCTTTCGGATAGGAGACAAATTTATCAATAAGCTTTGTCTAGTACTGTAGTTCATCTTCTCCTATCGCCTTTGTGCATATGTTCCTTATTTGTTTGACTTGCCTGTATGCACCGTTATCACCAGTTCATTTGTATTCTGCCCAACAGTGACTTTTGCTGTTTAGTAAGCGAAGAGTGCGGTTCTTGATGATTGTATGTTGCTTGTAGCTTTTGGGTAAGTCGTTTCTACAAGTTCCTCAAAGCAATTAAAATTAGCTGTGGCTTTAAAGGTGAATTTAAAATTACAAGAAATGGTTTCAATAACCAATCTCAAAGGTTTGTCTGGCTGCTTTTTAATTCCTTAGGTTTACAACAACTAAATAGCGAAATTTCTGGGTTTCGAAAAAGCATACTATTCCCCATAAGTCTTACTATACCAGTCCTCTAATCACTGACCTATGAAGGATTTAGTTATAAACTTTCGTACTGTCTTGAAGCTACTTTGTATTACTGAAAAATACGTAAGCGTGGTAGGTCATCAATCAATAATACAACCTTACCTTGTTTGGAGTGAACCACTGTTGGTTCTCAACCACATGATCCTTGAAGCCGTGCGAATAATGACTGAGAAGATTTACGCTCAAGATTTAGCAACCTAGAGAAAGCTAGAAACGGTGAACGGGCGAACAGTTAATGGTATGACTTAGCAGCGAAAGTGCCGTCACTTTATTAAACTTCTTCCTTTTCATATTTAATAAAACATTCCATCTACAGTTTGGACGTGCTCTTCGGAAGTACTAAACAGCATATTGCTGACTGTTAAGATGGGTTGATATGAATTCCATGTATGATCTTATGAATTTAATAGTTAAATCATGACAAATTTACCATTTTCGGGTTGGGTCTATTATTATGGTAACAAACGCAAATGCATTTAATACCAAATTAAACATTAAACTAGGTTCACCATTTAGAGAATTTGCATTTAGCATTATGTCGCAAGTATCTGCATACTATTTAGTGTCACATATAGTGGTTCGCTATATATATAAACTCGTTTCGCTCAATCAATAATTACTGCTTCTGAGCTTCCATGTTTTTGTACAAATAAACACGTAGGTCTAGATATCACCTCACTAAATAGCTTTGTAAGCGAAGGATTAAGTGGTGTGTTTACTGTTTTACACCTTATCTGGAGATGTTTACTTGTATTCAGGGTTTTAGGCATGTGTGTGGACCACAAATGTTCGCTAGTGTAAATTGTTATAAGTATGTACGTCTGATCCTGTAGTTTATTTACTTATTTACCTAGGTTGACCCCTTGATTTTCAGCTCAATGAATAGCAAACTCATATATAAGTATTCAAGTGACCAGTCAAGCTGTTGGACAGTGTAAATCAGTTTTAAAAGCTGTTCTTATTCCCAACACAACTAAAGACAGGAATTCCGTCCATTTAGTAAGGCGTGAGTGAATTATCGGGGCACTATGTTGGTGGTAGAAACATTCAACTAACTGATTGGCATGAGCATGATATTCCTGCAACGTATTTCGTCAGAACCTAATAGTTTCGATAAGCTGTTGAATAGCTCAGTCGTTTTTGTAGTAGGTGTACTAAAATGGTCACCCATGGTCACCGTTTTGGCTGTGATGTCGTTTGTTGATATGGTTATTGGGATCCTTTTGAATCTGTCCGATTATGTAAGTTGGTGGTAAAAACCGCCAGAGCACGGTAAAAGACTTACCAAATCTAAATTAATGCAAGAAGGCCGTGGATGTGGCTGTGACAAAACTCTGACGGAAAAATTCATATGATGGTTTACCTTTGATTAGCTGCACGCCGGACAAATTTTAGCTCACTTGTGTTCAACTCTCTGTTCATTTGTTCGTATATCTCATATTTTACAGTCTCTTGGTAGTTTTTGCGCTAGCAGAGTCAGATTGTGAGAATCATAAAAAATCACTTTTCAATCGAGATAATATATCTGCTGTTCAACTGCCCCTACATTTGACATACCGTAATTTATTGGTGAACAACGATATAATTTTAATATATATCAGGCTTCTCGAACGAAATTTTGTTGGCTTTCAATAAATTTCTTAGCTATTTACGGTCTGTGTCAAGTACGAATTTCTTGCCTTGCAACGCATGTTGGAAATTTGATCTCGTCCTATCGCGTCTCTCGGAAAATTCCAAGGATTTAACCCCCAAAACACGCTTACATTGATGGCCATTCATTCCATTTCATCTAATTATTTTAGCACGACTCTCCCATGCTACTTCATGGTTTAGAATCTATACTGTCTATCAACTGATCGTTAATATTTTCTCTTATGAAAAGCATATCTCGATGTGAATTATCCACAAAACTCCAAACATGATGTTATGAGTACGAATCTGAACAACTCAAAGGCGTGATCATGGTTGTCTAGTGAATATGATAATACATTATAGGCTATCATAAATGAGTGATATTGGGTGTCCATATAATACTGTTTCCCGTCTAAGTGCTCTGTAATCCTATATAGTTGACAGTCAAATTCATTTCACAGTTGAGACAATGTACAGGGTTGATGTTTATTGATAATCAGTAGTTCATTGTAAGTACTACAATGTAATGGCTGGTACTATGTCAAGCCCACGTAGGTTATTCTAGCCTATGAACAGACCAATTTATTCATTCTTTCCAAGCCACACTTTGACCTAGTCACTTATTCGCTTACTAACCCTCGTTGATGTGTTAGTTGCTTATCCTATTCATTACATGTCTGTAACTTATTTTTGATCTGGCTACAAATATTGAATCACTCTTGGTTAAATGAAGATGGATCCCTCACCTTCCTCACTGCGCATCACTTATTTCGCTTTGCTTTCCCCTTACAGCTTCCACCACTTCGTTTCGCTGATTGTCTGTCCAGATTGATGAATGTACGAAATAAATGTATTAAAACTCACTTCTCATATTAGACTTATTTATTTCCGTTATTCACTAACGCGATTTAAGTCGATGACTGTATACGGAGGTAACCGCGATGCGTATTTAGATAGCAGCTTTAATACGGTTTATTTAAAGTCAGATACAGAGCCACTAAAACTAGAACTATGTTCGCTACAGTGAACATCCACAAGAAGTTTCTCTTCGACTTCAATTCAAGTTTTGACGCTTTCTCCCCAAACATTGAGATCTTCGCCTTATTGTGAGTGTAACTGAGAAATTCTGTCGTCTCGTTTAGATTTTATTCTGATGGATGATACCAAGCGCCGCATATACATTCGTTAGAGTGTTATCTAAATTTCAATGGAAAGTATTTGATTGCTATGAACTACCATATTTGATTGTACTTTATAGTCTGTCATGGTTTTGATGTATTGGAACAAGCCTTGAATAGTGAGCTAAAATGCCCAGTGGTGCTGTTGGTTATGATGATGGTCATGACCTAGGACTAATGAGATGATATTGTCGAGTAATGAGTACCGATAACCTTTGTATTTTATGGTATAAAATTTCATATGGAGATGCATGCTAACTTGTAAAAACACTTGTGCACTACAAATTATATTTCAAAATGGTTATTGCTACTGATGTTCAGACTGATGAAGCCAGTGTCGAGGATGGATACAGTGGATTGCATTTTGGAATATGCAGAATAAGCTATGATAGGGAAATATATGGTTTATTCACTTGAAGGCTCAGCAACAAAAGTCTGTTCTTGAAATAGCGCTCAATGAATAATGAAGGAGAACAACAAGGTGACTCAGAGTGATTTGGTGGTCCGCCAACCGTGAGATGTGAAGTGAAGAATTGTATTGTGTGATCCGTAAGTTAAAGCATCTATGATGCTAATGTGTTAAGTAGAGTGTTTTATTGGCCTGATACGAAGTCCAGTAAATCACAATGAATCACTACGCGTTACTTGAAACGATGCAAAAATCCAAACTGCGATGGATTGTACAAGATAACAGTCACTAAACACCATAATGCAAAACCACTCTACTCAAAATGTTTTTACCGTCCGCTTTACTAGTCTTTTGATAATCATTGTGTTCAACTTATTCATAATGAAGACATTTCGAATGGATATTCCAGAACATTAAAAAGTCAATTCAGTTTATTTATGAATCTGTAATGGCAGATAATTTCACCACGATCTGATAAAAACTGGTGTATATTAATCAAGCTGTTGGTCCAAGTGTTCAACAGAATTTTCGTGATACGTTACAGCGCTAGTTCTCGTTACATTCAGGCGCCAAGTTCCTGGCTTACCATGCCTCCTAAGCTTGATCCTACTGCTGTTACTTATTGTAAGCTGGATAGTAATTTCTCATAGATTCTTAGGTTACCTGAGAGTTATTGGTGGTGAGGTTGGTGCAACATCGTCTTTAGCACCGAAAATTGGTCCTCTTGGCTTGTCTCCTAAAAAAGTCGGTGACGATATCGCAAAAGCAACTCAAGAATGGAAAGGTCTTCGTATTTGTGTTAAATTGACTATCCAGAATCGACAAGCGACCATCAGTGTTGTTCCTACGGCTTCTTCTCTCATAATCAAAGCCCTTAAGGAAGAGCCTCGTGATAGGAAGAAAGTAAAGAACATAAAACACAATGGGAATTTGACATTTGATGAGATAATAGAAATTGCACGAACGATGAGACCCAGAAGCATTGCCCGTGAGCTTTCTGGAACAGTAAAAGAGGTTCTGGGAACGGCAAGATCTGTCGGCTGTACAGTTGATGGTCAATCTCCTCAAGTCATAATCGAGAAAGTAAATGCTGGGGAAATATCGGTACCTGCAGCGTAGTTGCAAATAAAATTTTGGTACGTGATGACTATTCTCTTTTTCTTGGGCTGGATTTAGTCGTATCTGGTTCTGTCATAGTGTATATACTGACATGTAGCATATCTTAGAGATATGGAATTCAGGTATTACGGGTTGGTTGCATATGTTTAAATGGTATGACGTAACTGGTTCGATCGATTTGCTCCTACTATCTGACTTCAATAACTAGGTTTTCATGTATTTTTGGTAGGGTTGGTACATATTTCAGTGGTCAGGTTTCCTCTAAGTTCCGGTATACTTGCGTTGCAATTGGGGAGTCGCTTCCAGAAGACGTTAAGTCGTGTCGGGTTAGGAAATGTGACTTCCTTACAAAGTTTCGAACTTGTGAGCGTTAATCTGGGTCTCTATGTTCCCAGTGCGAACCCTACTGCCGAGTCCCATCCGCAGTTGATGAATAAAATTATTTTAATTGAAAGGGTCCATTCACTGTATGCGAGGCACTACGTTAATGTTTGATCACAATTTGACTACAGATTGTCGTTCCAACGGCTCATTGTGGCTGGCAATCTACTTATTGGTTTAAATATCGTGATCTTATTAGTTTTTAAATATCCTAATCACCTTAAAATAGTCAGTCAATATTGTACAGGTAGAGTTCGTTCTAGTGGCTTTAGAAATATCAGCAGACTGGTTCTTCATGTCTCACAAAGTATGCCTCTTAATAAAAATGCCGAATTATTGCGTATCACACTTATATTGACGCAGCATTCGCGGTTTTCTCACGCATAGCGCCAATGCCAACTTGAGTCCATAGGATTCTTCCATTTTCTAGACTGGTTAATGATATTATATTCATATTAAGTCTGTATGTCGGGTTATTTCCATATTAAGATATTTTAAGTCTTCGAATATACCAACATGATGGTCAAACATGACTCCACATGTCATTTATAAACGAGACGTAAATGGTTGCCTTTCAAGTTTATGACATGATTTGGGATATAAACTACATTTTAATAACAAACTGATTTGACACAACCAAACTATTGGAAGAGGTTTACGCATGGCATCCGTATTCAGCGAACTTTATAGAACGTTTGAAGTGTCTAAATGCAAAATAAAAGGCAGTAAATTTGTCAATAATTTTCACTGGAAAAAATTGTCGGTCCTATGAATCTCGTGCTATTTATGTCACTGAATAGTACTGTAAGTACACGGATAAATATAGTCATTAGTACTGTCTTTGGATGCTGCTCAAAGTAGAATGCATAAACCCACATTAGATAAATAAATTATTTGCGATATTTATGATAGCCTTGTGTACAATTATTGATTGTTTCATATCGGTCATTGGCCGAATCTAACTGATTCCATCCATTTCAATCAAAGACCAACTGTCAGATCAGATCATATACATATCCGTCATATGACTAGAAATTTCCCGCTGAAAATTTCCATGGTGAGTCCGCTATTGCTGTTGCCCACGAACAAGATATAATATTTTAGCATCCATGTACCAACAGATGCTCCGGGTTTACTTGTACGCTTTAGTTTAATAACGAACGCCTGGATGTTGCAATTATTTGTGCTGGATTTCTCTGTTTGAATGTAGGTGGGTCCGAGTGCTGTTAGAGTCTCGACGGGTGTTGTCACTTCAATTGCCTACACCATTTAACCGCACTTCTTAAGGGACCTGAAAAAGAAACTGGTTTAGAAGTGTCGATTGCCTTGAACATGACGGCAGCATCCGTGGGTTAATTTGCGAGTATGATTTCGTAATCTTTTTGGTAGGCAGTTTTAGATGGGTCAGGTTCGTAGATTTCAGACTACTACAGGCTGTGTAAGTGTTAAGACAAGGTAAGATGTCCTGTTCCTTTAGGGTAGGACTTTTCTATCCCATCTGTAAGAAGGCAGTATGGCTTCCGATATTGGTTGCGGTAAACCTCTTCCACCACAGTCGTGTACGGTCAACAGTCAGACTTCATCTTCGTACCTGTTTTTGATCTTGCCGTTCTCCAGTCGATCCGCCTTGTATGTTAAGTTCTATGAAAACGAGTATTTTAGCGAAATCGGTTTATTATTATAATGAACAAACCTAACAATGTCTTTGTAGTAACGGGTGCTGTCGGAATTTAAAGATTTCTTCCTCACTGGGTGGGTGTCAAAATCATGGTAAGTTGAGTCTATAATTGTGCGGATCAACATCCTAACTAGCTATTATAAGAAATGTGGTTCATGGGTCTTTCTCTTGTTTCGTTGCTTTTTAACATTGATAAGCAGGTTGTCTTTGCTACTGTTAAATTGCTGACACTTTTTCGTTCCCGAGTACCGTATATCTTTCATAGGAAACAAGTTAAGTAGTTACTGGACTAATTATTTTGTTTGTGTACATTTATTACTGGTATATGGACTAAGGCTTAGGTAGGACGAAATGATCTTACAGTTCAAGATAACGTATCAGGCATTGAACAATTATTTGGTAACATTATATACTTCACAGCTAAGGCACACCTCTTACAGCACTATCATTGAACTTCAGTGCGGTAAATAATCGAGGGGTTTGTAGCCTTAAAGATGCCTTGTCCACGTTGTTTTTAGGCAAATTATTTCCCCTTTACTGGTATTAACTTGTCACTGTTGTTCACTAACGTTTATGCAATGATCCATTGTTATAAATTAGTTTATGGAGAGCTTTGCTTATTTATTTATTTGAACATATGAATATTGGTACAAGAGAGCGTCAATATATATGCGCCACATAAAACAATGAGAATTCGAATAGAAATAGAAAAAAAAGCTAAGGGGCGCAAAAAAAGAGAACAATAACGGGGAGATTGGTGCAGGGTAGTATGGTAGAAATGAGGGAACGAAAAGGTACAATCAAAAGAAATCTTTCAGGTAAGGGAGACACAACCACTTTTTATGAAGAAAGTAAAAGAAGGTTACAGCAGGATCGCCACTGGCTTCTATTCTGAGCCATATCTGATAACGTCTCTAGCCACTGTGTAGCACCAGCTCTCAGACCCCAACCAGGGAGTCGTGAAGGACCAACAGAAGCCAGTCCTTTGCAGCTTTCTTTCATGCCACGACACCATGTCATATACTGACCACCTCTCCGCTTCTTCCAACCAGTCCCAGAGTCGGCAAATAATGCACGACGTGGAATTCTCTGGGACGACATTCGGAGAACATGTCCAAGCCACCGAAGTCGGTGTTTCAAGATGGTGACACCAATTGAATTATCATCTCTGTGCCCGAACACACGATGCCGAACCTCTGCATTACTGACATGGTGTTGCCATTGAATGTCAGCAATCCTTCGGAGACAGCGATGATCGAACACAGAGAGTCGTCTAACGTCCTCAACTCGGAGAGACCAGGTTTCACAAGCATAGTGCAAAACTGCTCTCACCGACGCGTTGTAGATCCGACCTTTTACAGCCAGACTAACATCACGAAGGCGCCAAAGGTGGCCCAGATTGGCACAAGCCGCTCTGGCTTTCACTATACGTGAGGAGTGTGATAATCCTTTTGTGTTTATAGATTTCATTTCCTTTGTTGACTATGAGGAAGTTGTTATGGAAGATAATAGTTGAATGAAATAATTCTACTAGGAAATTGCACTTTAGATGGAACCTAGCAAATATAATGGAGACTTCTATTCACAGTCAACATGAATTATTCTACAATTATTATTATAGTTATCTTATTTGTCCAACTATAACATGACAGAACAGCTATTTCGTACATCGTGAGCTGTTAAATCAGTGTGCAAACAAAAGCGTAATTGACTCAGTTCATTACACACTTCAATATGTAATGACTTCCATATGTGTGTTCAGGAAAGACTAGTATCCTTAGTGGAAGACATGTAGTGGGGTTCAATCTACTTGGAAGGTGTATATCATTTGAAAGATATAACTCAACGATGCTGGAAATCGATTTTAATCCACCAGCCCACTCGTAATTATTGTGCATCTGATTAGTTAGGTAGTAATATAGGTCTTTGCATTGTTAACGTGACTAAGTGCGGTATCAAACCAGGATGTTCGGTTTTACTTGCTGGTAAAAATTACTTAATATGAACTTTATCTGAAATGCTTGTGAAGCAAATTGGTGTACATTAGAAAGATCACCGGGTTTTCCATTTTTCGTTGTACATTTTGTGACGGTCGGTCACAATATTATCAAAGACTTCTCTTACATGCGGAAATATGTCTATTCAAGAACTATCCGTTTCACAGATGTCATCTTATTCTACCGAACCTGGTAAGATCATTTTGGATATACGATATGGCAGAATCAGGCAATACTAATAATCAACTTTTTATTGAAATGGCCGAAAGACAAAGAAGACGATAAACGTTATGAGGAAAGACGTGTTTGGTCGTATAAAGGGGTGGGGTGACCTGAGACTTCTAAACAGGCTGACTACGGCAAGAGAAGGGTTTCAGGGCAGTTCATGGGGGTCATCTTGTAGTGATGCTTGAAGGAATGCATTCAGCTGGTTAGTGTCCAATAAAACCAACAAGATCAGGTTCAATATCGAATGCGTGCAAAACTATCCATTGTGCAAGTTGTTTATCACTACATCAGCAATGGTTTTGTGTAGACTTATTGGTAAAATGGCCCACCTCAATCAATGTATTGTATTAGGGTTCGTTAGCAGTATAAGTTTATCATAATAAAGTTGCTAATTTGTCGATTGAGGAATTCCTATTTAGCGAATCCCAAACAAACATATCTGTCTTCAGAGAGCTATCCTAACCTATTACATCGCAATCCAAGTATTTCAGATTTCTAACTTCAAAATTGAAATGGTCCTTAGGTTGCTTAAACCCACATGGTTTTGCCAGTCTTGAAATACACATATGTGCTTTGTTCTATTTTGCTACCTACTGAAAGTATTCAGTTGTTGTGGGTGACTGACTTTGTGATCAGGAAACTGTCGTATTTGCGCATTAAAAAGGAATAAGATAAAGGCTTTTAGTTACAGACTAGTATTTTAATACCTGAAGTCTCGAAGGTCGTGAAAATAGTTACAAATGGATCTTCTGAAACTACCTAGTTAGGCACTGTCATATCTAAATGTCAACTCAAATTTCTCCTGTGTATATTGACCACGTGGCTAGATGATGAAGTATAATTGTCTTGTGTACATAGATCTAACATGTTTCTACAGAGTATTAAGTGTAGTTGGTCATTAAGTCCTCTTAGTTTCACAAATGTAAACTCAATAATTGTTTCTATTTCTTTTCCTTCAAAAATAAATTATTGTCCACATATTCAATTTTTTATTACTTAAATGTTCCGTATTATTATTAATTTGAAATTAATTGAGTGCAATAAATAGTAAAATTCCTATATCACTTACTAATTTGAAAAGAAGTTCGTTGTTAAGTGTGAAAATATTTTGTTTCATATTTCTTTTGGTACTTTTCTAAACGTAAATATCAAATTTGAGTTTGCCAAACTGTTGATTATGCCGAGATTCAGTTTAAACTCGATGTTTAAAGTTTCAACCCTTACTACTAAATCATACTGGAGTCCATCAGTGCTTGCGTATTTTTGTTCTTGTTCCCTTTTAAATAAAGACACTGTTATTATTGTTATTATTACTATTCGAATAAGCGAATTTTACTAATTATAGGTTTTGTCTTTGAAGAAACTATAAAGATGAATTTTATAAAACTTTACATATTGGAGTTGTTGAGATATCTAAGGTAGACGGAGATCACAAAAACATCCTCATCCTGAGCTTCAAATATTCTTTATCACTTGATCTCATACTTTCTAGCTTTTAATGTGCTAACTTATATCACGAATTGTAGTTGTCTTTAGCGCCTGGAAACGTTCTCTGAAGTCATTATTTCAACGGAGAAATATTTGTTAGATATATATGTGTAAGATATATAATATAATAAATACATCATGACGTGAACACTTAGCTGTTGCTGCTCAATATATTCTAAAAATTCCCCTAAGACTTGAAAATTAAATCGTCAGAATCATGTCTTCATGGAAATGTAATCGAAACGCCCTTTAAGATAGAATGTACAACGAGAATCAGTTAAGTGTTGTAACTGATCGATCTTTTTAAAAACCATTTTTGCGGTGTGGTGCGATGGCTAAGCAGTTCAAAGACTCATTTTTTAAAACCATTTGGTTACGAATTCAAAACACGCAATGCCTTTTTAGATGGCTGAGCGGTAATACTGGCCGTCACAAAAGTATTACCTGCGATCAAATATAATGACGTGCACTAATCGCACACGTCACATATTAAAGTCTTGTGATTTCGGTAAGGTTGACTATGGTTTAGTTAGGATAGATTTTTTATTCAACCCTAATCAAAAGTCTCTGGTTTAAATTACACTGCTGCTCATGTTTCTTAATTAAATCATCACCACCTCTCTATATGATATCAGATTACTCAGCTAGTTATTTAAAAACTACAATAATCCAGTATCCATCTCATCAGTCTAATTTGGTCTTAAACTTTTGGAAATATTCTATTTTCTTTACATGTGCGCACTTGCTTAATTAATGTTTTCTTGTGTATTTTTTTCAGAGCATAAACTAAATATCTTAAAATTTGATGTAAAATATTTTTCAGAACACCTTTCCGGGGTGTTTTTATTTATTTATCCACATTGTATGAACTGAAATAAAACGAATTCATCTTACTGTTTTGACGTTCTTATCCCATTATTGCAATTGGCTAATATAAGTAGCTAGATGTTTTTTTTACAAATAGACAAACGACCTGTATATAAAGTGTTTTGAAAAACGAAGAGTTACCTTCTCAGGAGGTTTGCTGACAAAGTCAGAAAATCGTAATTGATGGGTAACAATAAGAATAGTGTGATCTACCATAAAATTTCCTTTACTCATTGTTCTAAAGCAATTGATAGTTTACTTTTAAAGTGTTAGTAAAGTAGTCTAGGCGGTGGTTAAACCGTACCAAAGTCAATATGCTTGGAATGTCGTATTAAGTTAGTGTATTGTAACAACCATGTGCTCAGTGGATATTTGTTAATAATAGACTTTGAATTTCCGTGGTTGGACTGAGTCGAATCTCTTAAAAAAAAATGCTTAGGAAATCTTGTGACACCGTCAAGACAATCCACTCAGGACGCACATACCAAAAGAAAATGACCAATTACAATCTTGAACATTAACAATAAGATTTAAATCCTCACAAGTACGACTAAATCTCATCTGTCGAACAGGTCAGTGGCTACATGAGACCAGTAGATAGATGGATAGTGCGTTTGGGGTTTGAAGCAGAAGCCACTGGACCCGAGTTTCTATGTAAACACCAACATGGTTGCAGCTGACGAGTTCTAAATAGGTGTTAACGTGCATCTTGGATTCTTCTGCTAGCCTCGTGTTTTATCATGTTTAGTCTTCCATAGAATGATTCGAATTTCTCCAAGACGTATTAAATTACTTTATTCACACTGCTGGATAATAAGTTAACCTATTCACATATCCATAATTGATTGAAACAATCACCTACACGTACATAAAATCGGTTAGTCAAACACATCGTATAACTAGGTACGGCATGCACAATAATCCAAGTTAGCAAGCTCTATTAGTACAGCAAGATGGGGTTTTTAGAGAGAATTTCATAGTATCAAAGGTAGTAACAATATTAGTGGTAATACGAAAGATGAGGCAAGATAATGTAAACTGATGAATCTCTTTTTCATGGTTGACTAACTGCTCTTCTAGTTCCTGAAATATAGCCTTGACTTAATCACTGTTAACCTAAGCCCTATAGGGTTTTCTTACTTTGGCTTTTTTACTTCGGATAAAGCGACAAATATTTGGTCATACTAGGGCGTGATCTGAGACCAAACAAGTGCTTCAGAATGGTCGGCAGTCTTCTATCTAACCTTTCCAACGATGACCGATGGCAATGTAACCTATTTTAGACAATCGCTGGGTTGACTGTCGAGGTTTCCATGTTAGAGGGATTTCTTCCTTATCATTAAAGTTGGTGCTTGCTAAGAAAATACAATTATCTGAACATATTTGAACCAGACTATCAACATTAACCGTCCAGTGAGCCACGAAACCCCAAGAACTACTTAAATGTCTTTCGGTTCGGCTTAATCTACCTTTTTGGTGGTAAAAATCACCTACTATTGCTACATCTGAACGCTTAGTTTCTGAAGAATGGTGTGGATTCATCTTTTACTTCATTGGGGTTAAAACCAATGAGAGCGTAGGTAGATACAACGAAGATTTAGCGGTGTGTATTCCCATCTTCCTGAGTTTTTACTGTTCCATTTAGTCGGACAGCGCACATGTCAGTGGCTAGTTAAGGAAATCTGTAATCCTATCTGGCACAAGGTTCGAACATTGAAAGCGCCAACACGTAGTTTAGAGCGTGTTTGCAGGAGACCAGGAATAACATTTCGTGAACTCAAGTCTTTAGGATTGGTGGCGTTTGATGATAAAGATATATGAGAAGGGTTAGTCTTGAGAGTAGAAGAATTATTAACAGATGAGGGAGGGGTTTGATTGTAAACAAGATTATCTCGGGTGCTGATAGATGTGGGAGGCGGTTGTCACTTCCCGATTGTTCACACTACGGAATGATATTTCTTTTTGAAGGACCTAAACAAGAAGCGTAATTAGTGTTGATTTTAGCGTCCTAGGAGCGTAACGACAGAGCTCAACGGACAACTGCTTGAGACCAGTCACGTACGGCCATTTTTGGGTAGTTTTTGATGTGTTAGCTGTACACTTCAAAAGACTACTAAGGTGACAAATCCGTGGACTAAGGTGAGGTGTAGCATGTCTAGGGTTGACCTTGTCTGACTCCTGTTGTGAAAAGTTAGCATCGCTGCAGATACTGTTTGTCCGAGGGAAGCACCTTATTGTGGTTACAGTCCACTCCAGTCATCAGTATGATTTCAACATCAGACCTTAAGTTACCACCTTCAGTTATATCGTTCCCCAACCGGCCGCTCTTGTGTGATTGGTCCTTAAGAAATGTGATCCAGCCAATATAGCTCGGTTTATTCATCGCGATAGGTAAGTCTGACAATTAGGTCAAGGTAGAGATGCGGTCGTGATATAAACTCACTACGACTCTAAGATAGCTGGATTTCTGTTTCACCCCAGCTGGAGATAGTATATATCACAAAACGTTTGTTTTCTTGAGGTCTCAATGGAAAGCTTTGATCTGTCAAGTCGCAGGTTTGAGTGAACGTACATTAGTATCATATTGATGCTGTTTAGTGAATCAGAAAACTGTGAATAGAAAGAAATTCCTGTTTTATGGTAGAACAAGTAATTTGGTAAGATGGAGAAACGACTAAGGTAACTCAACTGATAAGTTCCTTGTAAAACTGTTCCGTCTAACCAATCGAAGACAGTGCAATTAAGGACTACAAACCACCTTACTGAATTTATTGATCAGTTAAAAAAAGGCTGTCTGTTTTACGGATATCTCGTCACGATAGTAATCAACCAATAATCCTATGCTCTCGCTAAAAATTAGTCTGGATTTGAGATTCGAAGTTCTTGAAGTCATCAAGACCGGTAATGCAAGGACTGCTTATTATCAACAGTCCCTGCTTGGAGTTTACAGTAGTTTGTAACTAACTACTAGTTAGTAGTTTATGCATTTTCAAAAAATATATATGATTGTTTTATAATTCTGATTAACAACAAGTTAGCTTTGTTAAATGTTTGAGTTGGTAACGGTAAAGTTTCCCATTTTCAAAGTGAAATATGATTGTAACATTAATTTGGATGATCTAAAGCGAACCGGAAAAAATCTAATCCATATATCTACTTAAGGGCACAGTAGGTTATAAAAAAGAGAAACATTTAAAAATCAGTTAAAGTGATCTGTAAGTATTTACAATAATTCTTACTATTTGTTTTACAGTAGTGTACCTTTACTCTGTATTTTGATATAATTTTCAACAAACCACATTTTAGTATGTTAAAACTTTAGCTTTTAAAAGAAGTAATATTATGCTCTTCAACTGAAATATATTAGTTCTCAACTACATCTTCGTTCGATTTTATTTTAATATGCAGTAATATTTATTAATCTAATGAAGATCTGATTGGAAACGATGTTAGTCGTTCATGTATACTGTTACAATTTTACAGTGGGGATTCTTAATATTTTGAAACACATTTAACCGTAGTATTTAGATTTTGAAATGAAGATTTCAGATTCATTCGACTCAGTTACAAACATTTTCATACAGCCCAGTTACTTGCATTATTTACGGAAATTAATTGTTTCATGAAGTCAAAGTAGTTGCAGTATATGGGGAAATGTAATTCAGAATACAAATGGAAACAGTGGCTGCATGTAACTAGTGGTAAAATTCATCCTGACTTAATTTAAACTCAATAAGATATTTAACATTCAGTCGATTATAAAACTAATTAAACTCTCAAACGACTCAGGCAACCAATGACACGCTCTACGATGGTCTCCAAGTGTCCTACCAACGCCGCCTTTTCGATACACTAAAACTCTTCACTCTGTTCGAAAATAGTTACGACTTCGACACCACATTTCGTTACACAGTACTTACGAAAATCCCTGTAAGTAGCTTTCGCTATAGCAGTTGTTTAGTTAGCTGACTAAGCTGGTATTTTTAGACAGCTTTTTTACCTACTCGATATTATCAGCTGATAGCTAGGAAATGTACGATTCAATAATAATCAGTCATGTTTGGAAATTATAAATATTTACTTGTAGACTTTTTTTCAAAATATGTTGATATTTAGTCTAGGGATGCCTGACCTCCATGAAATATTTCCAAAGAAATTCACACTTGAATTTCTTCAAAATAAAGTTCGATTTATACTTTAGTAGTTTCTACTTAATTTAATACATAACGAAATAAACATTTTCAGAATCACTTTATTCAAACCTAGTGGATTGATCGTATAGTTTATCAGTAAGGGGTTTATTGGGTTTTTAACAGTTATAACTTAAACAATGAAATGAAAAGTTCACTTGGAATTTCATATTTTACTGGCGTTACAAATCTAATGTAAACTTTAAAAAAAGTGTATTAGAAATCTTTTTCTCACTCACTGACCTGCATCAATATAGAATTTTTTTAATCGTTATTGTTATATCTCGATGAGAAATAATGAATGGTAGCTGTTGGGATCTATTTCTGTACTAATACTATATATATATATCGTGTAGTTGTTAAGTAACTAAACTATTCATATTCGTGTTCATCTTATCACAAGCTTCATTTTGATTCATAGACATTATTATACGATTTACCATTCTTCAGTTATGCTCTATCTATCAATTACTACCTCACACATTCACTGCCACTTTTGATTAAATCTTGTGCATATGATATTTTCTATTTTATTGTATGATTTAGTCTGTTTTGTTTGTATATGAACCCAGTATGCTTGAAATACATGTATCATATCACAGAGGCTGAGATTAGTATTCTGGCACTCAACAGGCAGGGCTAGGCAGGAATAAGGACCGATAAGCATTCTAGACTACTCGTACGAGTTTCATGCATCAGTGTTCCGGTCGGTAATTCACTGTTTTCTAATTGGTGATATCATTACGTTATACACAAACCCACAAGTTATAACAAGAGAACTGTACAAACTGAAAAAAATATATATATAGTACGGTAAGTTAAATTATTCCAAAAAAT